GTACCTTCTCCCAGGTCGTGGTTTTGTGTTTAGAGACCCAGGTTAAAAATTGTGACCGTTACAAAACCAATTCAAACAAACTTCTTAAGAATGAAGTAGGCATTTTCACTTGTCAGTCTGCATTGACATGCTTTTTAGTGACCCAGTTTTGCTTCCCCAAGTAACAACTCTCTAAGAAGATGGCTCCTTTAGCCCAGGAAATACGACAGCTCCATACTCGCTCTTAGGCTGGAAAACCCTGGGTTTTGCAAGTGAATTTCATAACCAAACCCAGATAAAATGCCTCCAGTCGAGCTGCTGCCAACTACCAAATGACAAATTTCCTACTAAAGAAAAGCTCAAATTTCTTTTGTAGTCCTCTCTCTTTTTTTCTCTATGCATTTTATTTTGCTTTAAGTGAACAAAGCTGAATCTTGGGAATGGAAAGGCTCTCGCTGGGTGCACAGGGTCCATCTCCTCTAAGTTGCCAAGGGGAAGGCCAGGCCTGCTCAGGCTCCAGGACTTGCCAGTAATCACAGCCCAAGAACAAAACCCAGGTTTCCAGCCCCTAGGCAGTATGCTTACAGCCCCTTGAGTTATCTTCTGGCACACATCAGGGGAAGACATAGCCCAATAAAAAAAACCTGCTGCTTAAGAAGAATCCCAAGTGCAGAAAGCCTCCCACAGTCAGCCATTGGCATTGGAGTCTTCTGGGTAGTGATGGGAGATGTTGAAGCTCAGTGCTCCTGTATGGCTACCAGCCGGTGTACTCCTACCCACCTGAACCAGGGTCAGGATACTCTGTGCTACAGGCAAGGAAGGGGGTACAAAGCCACGAAGATGGCTTCCTATCGCCAAAATTTGACAGAGGGCAGGTGTGTGCAGGAAGGGGGCTGTGTTTTGAATATTCATCTGTAATAGTTAAAATAAAGCTGACAATAAGAAAGGTGCTGAGACCCCCAGGCTTCTAAATGAGAAGTATCTAACTTGTAGACGGTAAGGAAGTCTCACTGAGGTCACTGTTAGGTATTGTAGGTACTTCTCTAGTCTAACCTTGTCTTCAGAAAACAAAAGCAAAACTGAAGAGATGGGATTTGCCCAGGAAGTCTGGGCTGCTGAGATTGAGACCTTGTTGATGATGATAATGCTGAGCCTTTAACTGGCCTCCATCCTCCCAGAAGGAGGTTTGCTGGAGTCTGCCCTGTTGTCATCCTATTACTCCAGGGCCAACGTCCTTCTGGCTTGGTGGAACTGCCTCCTTCCTTCTGGTCTGTGGAGTCCTGTCTGGGAGAAATGCGCTGCTTGATCTGGGCTGGCAACTTGTGAAAGCTGCATCATCAGGCTCCTTGCCCTTGGCAGCCAGGGACAGTGTCCCCTTGCTCCCAGGAAGCCAGGCTCTGGAGAAAGTGCTGAGACGGGCTCTGTGAGCGAGCTGGGCATTCGAAAGCCCAGGTCAGAAGGGACCAGAAATTCGTGAACTCAGCAATCCAAAATAATGTCAGTGCATTGCAGCCACTCCTCACTGCCTTCTGGACAGGTGACAGTGTTGCTTCTGAGCACTTGTACACCAGCCACCAAAACATTAGCACTTAATGGGTTCTGCCTGATGGCCGTTACCTGGGTGACAGGAAAGTTACAGGGGGGCCTACCCTCCATTGTGGCCTTTGGCGTTCCTTAAGGTTGTCAGAGCTAATCCTGGGAGCTAGGAGGTGGCCCGGGCCTTTGTTGAAGTGGGGTGCCTGGACCCCACACGTAGCATTAGTTGGCCTGTGATAACATTGTGTCTGTGGCAATCTGGCGTGGGTAGGTCCTGGTGGTAATGGTGGCTCTCTCAGCATTGCCCTTCTGTTCTTGTGCTCCATCATGCCCTCTATACTGAAGCTGGGAAACTGGCTAACTTTCCTGCTTGCTGTTTGTAGTGGGGGTGAGGGAGGGGTGGGGTTTGCGGGGGCTACTTCTTACCACACAGGTAAGCACAGGTTTTCAGTGAAGGCAAACAGGTAGGCCCTTGGCACTACATTGAGATACAGTGGGAAGCTTCAGAACGACTCACTGGGACATTTACTGGGCAGACCTGCTTGCAGGCCGGAGCTGCCTCAGCCTGATGCAGGGACAGTCATTGAGCCATGAGCCCTCGTTTCTGGGGATGCATGGGCTTGTGGGCCCTGGGAAGGGGCCCCGCCCCATGCATGGTGATCAAGAAAATCTGATCTGCCTTTACCTCATTTCTCATGAATAAGGACTGGGGGCTGCTATCCTCAGTCCCTTTCTGTTCTGAACATGAAGTAGGGTTGATGTCTGTGTGATCATGATCCCTGTGTTCCCCAGGTCCTGTTGCAGATGGAGCATGATTATATTCCTAAGCCCCCTGCGAGTCCTCTCAAACAGTAACCCTGCAGACAGACCTCAGCTTCCTTCTTTTGTTTTTGTAGTACTGGAGATTGAACCCAGGGGTGCTTACCACTGAGCTATATCCCCAGCCATTATTTTGAAACAGGGTTTTGCTGAGTTGCTATCAAACTTGCCATCCTCCTTCCTCAGTCTTCTGCATGGGGAGGCCTGTGCCACTGTGCCCAGCTAAGCTAATTTTTTAAGTCTCGGCATGCTGCTGCCACCTGGGAGCCCCAACCTGCTTGACTGAGGGACTTTCATGGAAGCCTGCCCGTCATGGTAGGCTGACCATCCTCTGCTCTTCCTGCAGGTTGCCTGCTCAGTGTTCCTTGTTGGCTCTCCTGCCCCAGTTCTGTGCTGAGGCTCCAGCTGTGGGCTTTGTGGGCTTGCAGTTCTCTCATCAGCTTGGGCCTTGACAGGTGTGTGGGATGCCGGTGGTGACAGCAGCTCTCGTCGCGCTGTGCCATCCTGCCCGAGTCAGGGTTCCTCTCTGCTCTACTTACTGAGGGGTGGTGGACTCCATGCTTTCTAGAGCAGCACAACAGGGGCTCAGAGACCAGTCTGAATGGCTGTGGTCCACAGGCATGTAAGGTAGGGTCTGCCCCAGCCTTTCTTCCATACTCAGATGTGCCCACCCTCCTGGGCACAAAAGTCAGACCACCTTTCCCTGAGCCCATCAGCAGCCAGGCACAGCTCAGTGCACCACCTGGGCGTTGCACTTTCTCCCCAAAGCAAAGCACTGTGGTGAGGCACGACCTGCCCCCCCAATTTTCGCTCTTCTGCTCTTTAATCCTCTTGATCCAGACACTTCAATTAAGAGCAGCAGACACATCAGGAGGTTTTAAGCACAGCCTCAGTCTCAGGCTCAGTGCTGGTGGCAAATAAGCAGCTCTGTGAAGATCCTTGAGCCTGGGGAGGGTCTGACCACAGCCATGGGCAGGCAGGTCTGTTCATCTCTGGAGGGTGCAGGCCCAGGTAATCATGCCAGGGGCAGCTGGCCACTCATTTGGAAGCAAGTTCAGACACCTCTATGGTCTGCCTCCCAGGTCTTGGGGCTGCACATCCCCCTCAGTCCTGTTAACATCTACCCTGCTTCTTCAAGTGCTTCCTTCCTGGTAGTTGCTTTTCCCCAGATATAGATGAGGTGCAGACCCCTGTCATTTCCAGGGCCATTCAGTGGTGCCACAATGTAAAGGTCACTCCTTAGCAATGCTAAGTTGGGAACCATAGTGATGGTCTCCATCGTTTCCACAGAGTGTGGGTGATCACACTGTGGCTGTGTGTTTTGTGAGCATTAGGGCCACAGGGCAGAAGCTAGGAGGATGTGTGTATGGCTTATGCTATCTTGAACATCTGGTGGGAGATAGTGTGTTGCCATTCTGCGAGGGCCCTAAAACTTGGCTAGGTGTATTTGGGATCTCTTTTTTCCTTTTATTTATTTGTTTTTGGGATGGGGTCTTGCTATGTTGTTCAGGCTGGTGTCAAGTGATCCTCCTGCCTCAGACTCCCCAGTAGCTGGGATTGCAGGCCCAAGCCTGGCTATATTTTTGGTTTTGTTTTTAAACACGGCCTTCTCATTTTTCCTGTATAGATTTTTAGACTAAGTTGGAAGAATCTTAGTAGCCACACTTTGTGCAAGGGGAGTTGAGATCATCCCCCCACCAAGGTAATTTGGCCAGCGTGCCTGGAGCAGTGGCCGAGTTTCCTAGTCTGCCCTGGTCATTTGTCAGGACAGGATTAGAGAATGGGGTCTACTTGTACTGCATCTCCCAAACCTGCTTGGCTGCTGTCTCTGGGTATCTGTCACTGAGATTTCTGCTATCTCTTCATGGGCTGAGCAGGCTAGCTCAGATCCACATCCCGGGCTCAGGCTCAATCCATCTGGGGAGAACTGCCACCTGTGCCAACAATCCCCCATATCCCCTGCCTCAAGCCAGGGTGTCCCCTCTTGGGCTGAAGGTTGCTCCAAGAACCCAGGTACTCCACAGTCCAGATGGCAGCTTTAGCGGCATTTTAGGCTTTGAAGCAACTTTAAAAATGCCAAAAAATAGGCTGTGGTTGTGGTTCAGTGATAGAGCACTTGCCTAGCATGTGTGAAGCACTAGGTTAAATCCTCAGCTCCACATAAAAATAAATAAAATAAAGGTATTGTGTCCATCTATACTAGAAAACTATTTTAAAAACTGCTGAGAATTCATGAGCACTCTTATGTGCATCCTTATTATTCCAGCAATAGGCGTAGTCAGCCCTAAGAGGGCCTGTGCAACCAGCACTCCCTCAGCTGCCCCTGGAGGGGTCAGACTCTGCCCTTTAGACTCTTTGTACACATCACTCCTATGGGTGAGTCCCCTGATCTTTCTCCTGACACCTGCCATGTTATCATTGGATTTCTTTTCACCTTGTGCCTCAGCTTTGAAGGGCAGTAAGAGAAAAGTGCGTGGCTTATACCTGCATGACATTTGCACCTGGCTTGCAAAGGGCATACTAGCCTCTGGCTCCAGCCGTCATGAGTGACTTTGCTCACAAGGGACAGAAGGAAGCTTTGTGTTTCCTTTGATATTTGCCAGTGATCTTACACACTTGTATTTCAATTTTGTCCAGACAGTTGTCAATCTCATTTAGACTGTGTTGAGTTTGCTTTGGGTTACACAGGCTTAAAAAAAACTTCCAGCTCAGAGAGTTGAGTGAGTGGCTCCCCACCAGCCTCAGCAGCCCTGGTCCTGCTCACAGTTGTTGTCCACGTGCTCCTGGTCCTGAACTCTGTGGAGCTTTTTGGGTGGGGAAGGCCAGCCTTCTCCTGTAACCACGCACAGTGCTGTCCCTGTGTGGCCTTCCTCTTGCTGGTTTCGCTATAGATATTGGAGCTATAGTCTGGCTGATTGTGTGGCCTCCAGACCGGGGACCCTGGCTGTCTCCTCAGTGGACCCTTGTCCTTTCTGAAGGGACCCTGAGCATCAATAGGGAGGCTGGCAGGCCTCAGCACTTGGCTGAGTGTCACAAGTCCCAGCATTGCAGTGTGAGTCCACACGGCTCTAGGAAACCCTTTTCCCCTCTGGGTTTCAGTTTGCTTATCTGTAACATGAGGGGCTGGACATGAGGCAGGCAGTAAAGAGGGCATTTTAGTGTACCAGTCAGGGGTGCTGCTAATGGCATCTAGCAGGGGGAAGTCAGGGATTCTGTGCTGCTCAAGTTCACAAAGTGCCCTGGACAGCTCAGAGGGTCCAGGAAGCCCTCAGGGTCTTTTTAGATGTTCTTTGACTCCCTTTTTAATGCCCTTGACTGGGCTTGGAAGCAATGCTTCTTACGGATATCCCTCTGTTAATAAGAGTTGCCACCTGAATGTGGCTGTGGAAGAGATAAAGAGAGTCATGGTAGAAGAGTGCTGGGGACCTTGACCCATGGGTTCTTGCCCACATACCTGGTGTGGAGCCTTTCCTCTCTGGGATTAAGGCTTGTGGTCACGTGGATCTAGACTTATGAGACGTGCCTGGAGCAGTAGCCAAGTCCCCCAATCTGCCCTGAGAGGTACAGGGGCTGAGAGCTCTGCCTTGTACCATGTTGGCTGCTGTCCCTGACCTTCTATTCACACACCCTGCCTCAGGAAGTGCCTGACGGTGGCCTGGTGCTCCAGGCTACAGCCACTTCACCTAAAGGCCTCTGTGCCCACAGTTCCTTCGAGTCACCAAGCAGTATCTCCCTCACGTGGCCCGCCTCTGCCTGATCAGCACCTTCCTGGAGGATGGCATCCGCATGTGGTTCCAGTGGAGCGAGCAGCGTGACTACATCGACACTACCTGGAGCTGTGGCTACCTGCTGGCCTCATCCTTCGTGTTCCTCAACTTGCTGGGACAGTTGAGTGAGTGGCTCTGGAGGCTGTTCCCTCACTGATAGCACACCTGAAGCTTGTCGTGGCACTTGGGAGGTTATGTAAACCCAGGGGCTCCAGCATAGGCCTGCCAGGTTTGGTTCTGTGAGTGTTGGGGTGGATGCTCTCAGTCCTAGACTCACCGCTTTGGGGCTTGCTAAAGGCATTGGACTCAGTCCCCGTTTGTTTTTAAGTGCTTCAAGCAGGAGGCACAGGAGACCAGGTGGCTGAGGCAGTCAAGGAAGCATCTAGGATGGATAGGAGGATCTAGGTCAGTACAGGAGGGCACTGGGGTGGGGCCCCAGGTCTTCTTTCCACTCTTGATGGACTGTCTTCTGGTGTCAGCCCTCACTCCTTGGCACATTATGGGCTCATTAAAGGACTTGTGCTTTCTAGCCTGTTTGAAGCTCTTACACAGTAAAGATGTCAAGATCTGTCTCTGTAGGGTGGTGGCCACACTTGTGCTCCCAGCTACTCAGGAGGTTGAGGCAAGAGGATTACAAGTTTCAGGGCAGCCTGGGCAACATACCAAGGCCCTGTCTCAAAATAAAGGAAATAGGGCTGGGATGTAGGTCAGTGGTAGAGTGCGTACCTAGCATGTGTAATATCCCAGATTCAATCCCAGTATTGAGGAGAAGAAAGAAAGATTCTCTGGTACAGCAAGGAATCCATATTCTAGGGGAGTGATGTCCGTGAGTTTGGGCCTGGCTTGTCATCATTAACTCTCCCAGAAGTTGCTTTTGGCTTGGGGAGGTAGTTGAGCTGCAGCTGATCCAAAGCTTGGTGGGTACAGTGTACCATGACAGTGTCTTACCCAGGACCCAGCTGAGGTCCCCCTAAACCAACCTTACTGTTGTCTTTCCAGCTGGCTGTGTCTTAGTGTTGAGCAGGAACTTCGTGCAGTATGCCTGCTTTGGGCTCTTCGGAATCATAGCACTGCAGGTACATGGGGCATGTGACAGCGTCTCACTTGGGAATCAGCTTTGGGCTCTTTAGAATCCGCACTACAGGTACATGGGGCATGTAGCAGGGTCTTACTTGGGAATCAGTGCTGTAGGTACATGGGGTACGTGGCGGGATCTCACTTTTCTTTGCTCTGGTGGAACTGGTGTTGGATCCAGCATCCCTCCTTGTAACCCTCATGTCTGGCTGCCCAGAGCTGCTTTTCTCTGTGGGGAAGTGGTGGCATTGCCTCTTAAGGACCAGCTTAGGAGCACCTGGCTGCTAAGTGCCACAACAAGCTTCAGAGGCTGTTCTTGGATTAGGTGTCAGCTCTGGGCACTGGGCCATCTTTTGCCACTTTTCTGAGTGTGCTGTGACAGGGATAGGGCACATGATTGGCAGCAGCTAGATGCTAACTGGTACTGATGTGACTCCTCAGCAGGAAAACCTGGTGTCCAGGGTGCAGTGCATCAAGAGGGGTGTTTCAGTCTAGACCAGGGGTTTCAGGACATCATGGGCACAGCCCTGAAACTGAACAGGCCCAAGGGCCATGGTTTTTGAGAAACACTGAACCCCCCCCCCACACACACACACCAAAACTGTTATACTTGACTATGCCCTTGGTGTCCTGAAGTAGTTTTGTGCCTTTTGTATCCTCGCTCTGATGGATAAGTTGCTGGGTGCTATTATTAAATCTATAGATATTTACAATGCTGACTGAAGTTTCTGTCTGCCTGTTCCCCACAGACGATCGCCTACAGCATTTTGTGGGACTTGAAGTTTTTGATGAGGTAGGTGCATGCTGGGTGCTAAGCTGGGTGTTCTCTGCTCATTTCTCCCACCTGTGTGCTGTGGGGGGGGGGGGTGAGCTTGTCTAGCTCTGCCCTGTGCTCCTAGAAGCAGATATTGTGGTAGCTGTTCGGAGCCTCCCCCAGCATGGCAAACAGAACCAGGTCCTCTCACTCACTGCCATATTCACAGGCATGTGGCCTGAAGGTCTGAAGGACACCTTGCAGGATGAGACCAGGGTTCCCAGCATGTCCAGGCAGCCTTGCTGTTAGTTCCATTCCAGAGGCTGGTCCCATGCACTCAGGCCTGCCTGGCCTTGCTGTACAATCTCTGCCTGAAGGACGGGAAAGAAGAGCTTTGCTGTGCTCACATCAAGATCTCCCTTCCTCTGGTCTGGGAACAGATCAGATACCAATGAGTGTCAGCTTCCAGCCAACATTTCTGTTCCTCAGGAACCTGGCCCTGGGAGGAGGCTTGTTGCTGCTCTTAGCAGAGTCCCGTTCGGAAGGGAAGAGCATGTTTGCAGGTGTTCCCACCATGCGTGAGAGCTCTCCTAAGCAGTACATGCAGCTCGGAGGCAGGGTCTTGCTGGTCCTGATGTTCATGACCCTCCTTCACTTTGATGCCAGCTTCTTTTCTGTGAGTATCCAGCTGCTTGGAGGGCCTGTCTGGGTTGTGTGAGTGTAGTATGGGAAGACAAGAAGCAGATCTTGTGGTCCCATTCTGACAAATGAACCCATCCATCTCCTGTGTGTCAAGGAGCTGCCTGGAAGATCCAGTCCAGGTCTCCTGACCTTGCTGGAGTGAACCAGTGCTTTCTCTGTAGGCTCTTCTGACTTCTCTTTCTCAAAGTTCACATTTTGCTGAGTATGGTTTGCATGTAGGGTGTCGGGGGCACAGCTGACTAGAAGGTACAGGTACAAGGAAGGGTGTTGGCACTGTGGGAAGGGGACGGAGTTCCCATCCTGGATATCTGGGTGAGTTGGGAGTACCCTGGGGATAGAGATCCAGCTGGCCAGCACTGGAGCTCATGGTAAATCACAGCCTGCTGTTACCCAGAAGCTTTCTTTAAATCCCTGAGCCTCACACTATAATGGCGTTGCTTTATCCACTTTCCCTGGTAGTGACTTCCAATTTTCTGCTGTCTCAGTAGCTGTGCCAGCCTGGCACAGGTACTTGAATGACACAGGCAGCTTGATTTGTTTGTAGAACACAGAACAGCTGTTCCTGGTGTTGACTTTGAATGTTGTCCCTCTCACCCTGTGCAGATCATCCAGAACATCGTGGGCACAGCTCTGATGATCTTGGTGGCTGTTGGCTTTAAAACCAAGCTGGCGGCTTTGACTCTTGTTGTTTGGCTGTTTGCTATCAATGTGTATTTCAACGCCTTCTGGACCATTCCAGTCTATAAGCCCATGCATGACTTCCTGAAGTACGACTTCTTCCAGACCATGTCGGTGATTGGAGGCTTGCTCCTGGTGGTGGCTCTGGGCCCTGGGGGTGTCTCCATGGATGAAAAGAAGAAAGAGTGGTAACAGGCAGATCCCTACCCTACCTGGCCAAGACCTGTGCCCTTGTGGACTGGTTCAGGGTGGAGTCAACAAACTGCCAGCAGTTCCGTGTCCTCTTCCCTCCCCTCCCTTGGTAAAGGCACCGATGTTTGAGAACTTTACTTGCAGACACCTGAAAATTGGGGGCAAAATCTGCTCTGGAACCACAGGCTGGTATCTGACCACTGAATGCTGCCCAGCTGCACGGCCAGTCACCTGGCCAGCCCCTGACATGAGCAGCTCAGTGGGTTGTGGCCTCAGTCCTGTTTTCGAGTCTTTTTTGGGGCGAGGGACTTCAAGCTGTACTGTGAGCAGACATCTGTATCATTCAGAGCAGCCTCCCTCTTGTTTTTTAAGTTTACATTCTTAGCTCAAACTACTAAATGGTTTTGGATGCTGCAGCCAGACTTCACACCCCGGAAGCTCCCTGGTTGAAACTCGAGTCAGTGGCTTCAACATTGTTTCTGCCCCTGCATTGTAATACCTTATAATAATCAATGAGGCTATTCAGAAGAGCCCCAGTGCTGCAGTACTGGAGGGCGACCAGGGCTGCGGCTGGAGGGAGAATTCATCAACACCACCAGCTCGGATCAATCACTGGGAGATAGAGACCCTCTCAGAGCTTTAGTGGCTCAAGGCAGGGACAGGGGAAGCTGTACACAGGATGGCCACCCCCTCCCCCTTGAATGGTTTGGGGAAGAGCAGCAGCAAGGGGCCCAGCAATGTCAGGAGACCCACAGGCTCAACCCAGTTACCTCAACTTGACCTTCACAGAGCAAGGCCTGGATACCCTAGGCTGTGCTTCATCCCAGCGTGGCAGCACCCGTTCCAGACTGCACCTGCCCTGTGGGTGGCCCCAAGGTTATGGCTTGCTCAGATTTTGTCCATTTGCTATGCCAATGCAGCCAAGATTACTTTCTACAATTTGTGATGCCTTACCAATTTGATCTTGATCCTGTATTTAAAGTTTTCTAACATTGCCTTATACCGTGTTCCTCTTTTTGGTGAGGTGGGGGTCTGACACTGGGGTGCTCTGTTCATCTGTATGGCAGTGAGTGCCAGAGGGTAGTCAGAAAAACACCTACTCCTGCCCGATCCCAGGTACCAAGGTGCCTGACAAGGAGGGAAGATGGCCACTCACTCTGTGCTGGGTGTAGCTCCTAGAGCCCATCCTGGGTGTATAGGACTGAAGTGTCCTAGGGCTGCTGCAGGCCAGCTGAGCCTCCTGCCCCTACCTACTACAAGGGCATCATGGCACACCTTCCCCACACCCTGGCCTGTACCACCTGCCACTGGGGCCTGTTCCCTGGTGTATTGAAGATCCAGTGATGGCTTCAGCTGCAGGGCTACCTCAGCATGTATCCCTCCCGATTAATACAGTGTAATAGCCCTGTTAGGTGACACTTGGCCACACCAGTTCCTGTGGTGCCACTGGTTTGTGGAATAGGGCAGACCTAGGAAGCCAAGTGCATGGTCAGCAGGGGTGGCCTCCACCCTCCACCCTGCTGCCTGAGTGAGCTGGGCCAGGATGGGGGAGGAAAGGAAACACGGCTTACCCACGGATTTCAGCAAGACAGTCTCTGAAAATGCTTCTGCTTTATATGGGAATAGGTATAAATCTCATTTTTATGCTGTATTTTATATCTTAGTTGTGTTTGAAAACGTTTTGATTTTGGAAACACATCAAATAAACAATGGCATTTGTGGTATGCACTGTGATCCCGTGGCGGTGTCTGTAGGCTGGCCAGGGCCCTCAGGATGCTGTAGTGAGCTGGGAACCCCAGGCTTTGCCAAGGACACTGGCAGACCACACTCTGGGAGCAGTTGCCCTCAGGGTCCCTGCTGCCTCCTGGTTATGGGACCCCACCCAGTGCCAAGCAGGTTCCTCAGCCCTGCTTCAGGGGTAGCAAAGCCAGGAGACTAGGATGAATGGAGAGGGAAGATGCTGGAGACTAGACTTAGAGTTCCAAGGACACCAAAAGCTGTCCCCACAACCTTTATTAACCCGACTGCTTGAAGGAGCCAAAGCTCTTGGGCTTGTGGTGATGGTTCTTGAGCTTCTTGGTCAGTGAGTGCAGGTGCTTCTGTGGTACAGCAGAGCATTTGGTTATGGATGCTTCTGATCCCCCAGGGAGGCTCTGTACCACCCTGGCCCCCACTAGCCTGAGCAGACAGCCTTTCTGCCATGGTTGCCCTATACTAATGGTCAGGCAGCACTGCATGGAGCCGGGGAAAGGGAAGCACATGCAGTTCCACCCTTGTGGCTCTTGCCTCATAGCAGAAGAAGGGGCACGTGAAAGCTGAGCCCCTTCTGCCCTGCAGCACATGGGCAGAACGTCCAGAGATCCAGGCTGAGGGCCAACTGCCCTCCCTCCTGCCCCCCAGAGTGGCTCCCACTTTTCTTACACATTATTAGCTTGAGATTTCAAACAAACCAAAACCACAACTAGAGAAAGCTGCTTCTGGCACAAATTGGCAGTGCATCCAGAGGTAACAGCTTACCTTTTTCCGCTTCAAGTCCACTTTAGCTTCTCTTCTGTCCCCTGTGCCCTTCATTCTTGGGGATTTCAGCTCCTCATTCTCTTGGTCAGTCAGAAAGGCATCAGCACCATCCAGGTCTTCAGGTCCTCCTGGGTCCTTTCTGGTGAAGAGCTCCGCTGGGATGGACAGGCACTTGGCTGAGCCCACTGCAAGTGGAGCTCTACCTTCTAGGGGGTGAGGGTGGGAGCGGTGGCCAGGATCATGGAGGATGCCTACTTGGGGTGGGGGAACGAGCCAGGAAGTCAGGAGCTGCAAGGCCAGAGTGAAGGACGGCTGTGCCACTTACGTGGGTACAGGTCTGTCATGCTGTCATCACTCAGGGCTCCACTCTCATCACTGGAAAGAGGCTCCCAGAAGGCTTCTCTCAGGCCTGGTGGCTGGTTCCCGTCCACCTGGCTTTCCACCCTCCTCTTCTTGTGCAGCAGGCAGGCAGGGACATATTCCACACCTTGCTTCTGACAGTCCTCATCTGGGACACAAGCCAGCTTACTCGGGAACCCTCCCCAGCCCCAGTCCTTTGGGCACAAGGCTAACCCATGTGTGCCCCAGCTCAGGCCTGACCAGGTGTGGAGGAGGAGTGGCCCAAAGACTAGAAGGTTGTACAGGTCTACCAGGCCTTGGCACTTATCCTGCAGGCCCAAGGTGAGCCCCAGTGAGGCTGCCACAGCAGCAACCTAGTCTACTACCAGCACTAAAGTCCTCCCTCTTGGTATCACATGGGCCCCACCCTGGTGGGGCCTGAAGGACCTGGCCCTTGCTGCCCTGGGCCAGCTTAGGTAATAGGATGAGATCCTGTGGATGAACCCTGTTCAGGGATTGCCCCAACTGATCCTTGTGTATGGAGAGGACCAAGCACCCACTGTCCCCTGCCTGCAACGTCACTGCTTGCTTCTGCCACCTCCAGAGCCCTTTCTCTACGTCCTCTCTGCTACTATTTCCTGTGGCCACAGTGGCCTTATCACCATGAGCACCTGCCTATGGCATCTCCTTCCAAGTTCCTCAGGTCAGGTCCTGCCTGGTTCCAAAATGACTGCCCTGAAGTGGCTGCATTGTATCCTAGTCCCATCTCAGCTCCATCATCCATCCCTTCAACAACTTGCTCTCACAGGAACCCCCACATCCCAGTAGCTAGCACAGCTGACTAGACAAAAGTCCAGGACCTGGCTGGCGGCCCTCTCTGGGCCTGGCTTCTACAAAGTGCCTGCTCCAAGAAACTTGTGGGCTCTGCTTTCTCACCTTCCCATTCCACCCCCAGCATGAAAGAGGTGGCGTGGTCCCCTGAAACCTCATCCTCCTTGCTGCTCTACAGCTGTGCTTCAGAGGCCCACCTACACCTGTCTCCTGCCCTACAACACCCCAGCCTGGCTCTACCCCCATCAAGCCTCAGCTGCCCTAATCAAGATTGCCAGAATCCTCTAGACTATCAAACACGGTGGCTACTTTTGTTCCCTTACCTTGACCTCCTCTCTCTGGGGCTCCCTGGTGCTCAAGCCAGCAATCCCTGGCCAGGTGAGTTCCTCCAGCTCCAGGCTGGCACCCTCCTTCCTTAAGCCATCCTGAATTCAAAACAGGCAAAGGAGCTCTCCAGCCCCTGGGGAAACCTAGTGCTTAGACATTTCCTGCCTTAAGGATGCTATGATTTCCTCCTGTGCCCTCACTTCCCTAACCTGGCTCTGTCCCCCAAACAGACAAGGCTGGTCCATACCTTTTCTTTCTCCAAGCCACCATCCTCTGCACCAGCTTGCTACAGTCACCTCATGCCCCTCTATTTTTGCAGGTCACACAACTGCCGGTACTAGTGCCAGCTTCCCATACTGACCAGGGCACCAAGACTCTGTGGCCTAACCTACTCACACACTGGTCTGAGGCCATCAGAGCTTCCCAGTGCCTCTGCCAGCCCTGGAGCTGTGCCTGGAACACTGCTCCAGCCTCAGCTGGGAAAGTAACCAGAGGGTCGTCAGGCCTCAGTATTTTCCTTCACATACTCTGAATTTTTTCCCCAGCCTCCTCCTGGCTTTGCATGGGTCTACCCTGGGAGTCCATGAGATCAGGGGCCACTGTCCCTCTCCTCATTGTGCCAGGACCAGGCAGGAGCCTCACCTAAGGATCATTGAAAGGTGACTGACGCACTGCTTCTGCCCAGAAGGAGCACTCTGTCCCAGGGGAGGCAGGTACGCATCCAAAGACTGAGCTTGTGCTGCAAACACCTGGTGACTTACATCTCCTTAGGGCTCTCTGGTACCTCTGGCCTTGGGTATGCCTCAGCACGTGCGCAGGGGACTTGTTGATGTGGCGCAGGGTGAGTTTGCAGAACAACTGGTGCCTATGGGCAAGAAGAAAAATTTGCGGGGGCAGTTCACAGTAAAGACTGAGACCCACGCTGCTCCACTGTGGCCACATACAGGAACTGCCACTAACCCACTGACTGTGACCTCTTCTTTCACCAGAGGGAGGCCCAGCAGCCTGCTCCAGCGCAGAGCAGAGAGAGGCCCGGCTGCACCCCTGCTCCAGCGCGGTGTGCAGCTGGAGACTGCCTGGCAAGGTGCTCCCGGAGCGGGAGCGAAAGCGGGACCCTCCCGTGACGACTATTTCAATCACACAGTGCAGCAGCATCTAGGTTTCCCGCACGGAAAGGGTAGGGCTGCCGGGTCAGCCCCGTCAGGGGCCGCGCGCGCGAGCTCTGGGCGGCCACCTACGGGTGCTTGCTGCTAGGAACGACGTGCGGCTCGAACTCGGCGTAGTCGAAGTCCGCGGGGGCGCGCGCCAGACGCTGGTACTTCTTGCCGCGGGTGTAGACCTGCAGCTCGGGCAGGCGGCAGGGCAGCTCGTGGCCCGTCAGGGCGCAGCGCACCTGCGGGTGGACTGCGGGATCAGCGAGATGGGCTCCCTTCGCGCCGGCCCTCCCTCCTTCCCCCAGTACCTCCTTCCCCGCAGACCTTGTCTGCGCCGGGCAGCAGCCGCAGGCTTGGGTGCTGAAGCAAGAAAGCTCGCACGTCTGCAGACGGCTCGCCCATGGCCGGAACTGCAGCAGGCACCACTTGGGCGAGAACGTCGGGACGCTCCGGAAGCGATCGCTGCCGCTCCGGAAGTAGACGCTCCCGACCCGGAAGCGTCCGCAGCGACTTGAGCGATGGCGGCGGCGGCGGCGCGGTGGCTGGGGCTGCGAGCGGTATACGTGGGGCCGGGACACACGGGCGCGGAGGGCCGCGCGGGGTGGGCGCGACGCCTCGCCGTCCCGAGCGTGCTGTTCCCGCAGGCCCCGGCCCGCGCTGCCTGGACGCGCGTCGCAGTCGCCTCGCGCTCCGGTGAGCAGGGGCGCGGTGGGCTGCAACGGGGCTGCGGGCGGCGCGGACAGCGCCTCGGGCTTCCACGGTCTCCCAGCTTGAAGGCTTACGGTACCTTCCGTGCACGTAGTTCCGTCTTTAGATTTATGATGTGCAGTGCAGGCGAAACGCAGCTAGGACCGCACTGTGAACAACTGTCCTAAGATTATGCCGCGTTTCTCTATGTAGCACAAAGCCAACAGCCCCTGGCCAAGCTGCTTATTAACTGCCTTTTAAATACATTTTGAACTAATGTGACTAGTGCAAGTTAGTGCCACAGAATATGTCCTAACACAATACTGAATATAAAGGCACTAGGTAAGCTGGGTGCAGCGGCGCACACGTGTGATCCCAGCGAAGATTGTAAGTTCGAGGCCAACCTCAGCAATTTAAGGAAACTGCTTCAAAATAAAAGTATAAATGAGCCAGGCGCAGTGGCTCACGCCTGTAATCCCAGCTGCTCCGGAGGCGGAGGTAGGAGGATCTCGAGTTCAAAGCCAGCCTCAGCAAAAGTGAGGCACTAAGCAACTCAGTGAGACCCTGTCTCTAAAATACAAAATAGGGCTGGGGATGTGGCTCAGTGGTCGAGTGCCCCCGAGTTCAATCCCCAGTACCAGTAAATAATTAACTAAAAAATATATAAATGAATAAAAAGGACAAGAGATGTAGCTTAGTGGTAGAGCACTCCTTGGTTCCCTCCTTTAAAACGTGGGATGGTTACATGGTCACAATTGGTGGCAGAACCAGTATCGATCCCTAGACCACGTTTATTTGGTCAACAGACATCTCAAGTGTGTGCTGTGGGTTAGGAGCTGGACTGGACAAGGTGCTGCTTGTTGGCTTCTTACAGCAGGTTGTTTACTCCTGTGCCACGCCTCCTGGTGGTACTGGGAGTCTTGAAGAATTGGCTGCCTCAGATCTATTTGTTTTAAGGCTTTGACCCCATGCCAGTGTTGTAAAACTCCCTCCAGGGGTGGCCTGGGGGCCGAGCAGGTGTGGCAGTTCTATGGCAGAAGCACCTGCCACAAAAACAGAAGATGACTCCTTTCTCCAGTGGTTTCTGCTTCTCATCCCTGTGACTGCCTTTGGCCTGGGGACTTGGCAGGTAAAGACTGGCATCTAGTTAAAATGGCCCTGAGCCTTTGACGGTACTGCCATCTGCTTGGCTTATGCTCTCTTTCTGTAGGTCCAGCGTCGGAAATGGAAGCTGAAATTGATTGCAGAATTAGAGTCTAGAGTTATGGCTGATCCCGTCCCTCTGCCAGCAGAGTGAGTGTGGCAGCCCATGGGGTGATCACTGAGATCAGCTGTGGAACTCTGACTTCTCCTTCCTGTGCTGTCAATCACTTCCCTGACCTCAGACAGGAGTTCTCAAAATCAGCTGTCCTGCTTGGCTTTCTGTTAACAATAGACCATCCCTGTGAAGCCATCTGAGGCCACCAGACATAGAAAAGTCTTATTTTTGATGCTGGGTTTCACTATTTTTTAGGTCTTGAGGGATTCCCCACAGTGCTGACAGCCCCTTTTAGCAATGATTCTTAGTTGGTGGGTGAAGGCAGATAATGTAGGCCTCACCATGAGGATAGTATTTTGAAAAGTGCCTGAAGGATTCTACTGCCCTTTCCCCATCATTTGAAAATACTCTCCTGGAGAGATGGATCTATGCAGCAAAGTTGAATTTGAAGTGGATACAATGTGCTGTATTTGACTTGCAGATGGCATGGGTCCCACATCATATTTTATTAATTTTACATAAAATAGTCACACAAGAATTAACACTTTTTCATCTTCTCGTAAAAACTTTTACTCTGGTGGCACAGATTCACATTCTCACATGGCAACAAAGAGCTAGAACTGAGGACCTGGCCCTGTAGAGGGCAAGACCCGGCAGTCTTCACTGTGTCTGGCCCTGGTGGGGTGGTAGTTTGCAACCTACTCTAAGAGGATTTATTTTTACGCCAAACCTTGCTTGTCTACAGCTCTTTTTTCCTCTTTCTGTAGTCCAATAGAACTGCAAAATCTGGAGTATAGGCCAGTTAAGGTCAGGGGGCACTTTGATCACTCCAAAGAGCTGTACATGATGCCCCGGACCATGGTGGATCCTGCCCGGGAGGCCCGGGAAGCTGGTCGGATCTCTTCCTCAACTGAGAGTGGGGCCTATGTAGTCACCCCCTTCCACTGCACCGACCTGGGGTGAGTAGGCCATGTGGGATGCTGACTGGCCTGCTGGGTGCAGTCAAAGCAGATCAGTTTTCATCACCATGTTCTTCCAGCCCCCTACCCTTGGTAAGACCTTGAAATCCTAGATGCTCAGAAAGTGTCAGTGCCCTGCTAAATTTGAAATCCCTTATTCTGATGTGAAATAAGCCATGTCAGAATACGAACATCCTTAGTCAATTCATTTTATTACTGAATAGGTTCTGTATGTAAGCTCTGAAGGGGAAGTTGTCGTCGAGATGAGCTCTGCAGAATCAAACAGCAGCCAACACACTGTAGGACAGCACAACAGGAAGGGCAGTTAAAATCCCCCAAATGCTTAGTGGGAGCTGAGGTGGGGAAGGTTAACACTCGAGGTAGCAAATGGGACGAACTTCCAGAAAAAGGAGTGCACGTTAAGATACCTGGGGCTCCTGTTTAGTCCATGTTCCAGTTCTGGGGTGGTGCCCAAAAGCTGCATGACCAGCAGGTTGTGTGCCAGGGCTGCTTCAGTGGCCACCCTGGTTAGGAGGGGGCTGCAGTGGGAGAGATGATCCCTGAACTCTGGCCATGGTAATGTGGATCACCAGTTGCATACTGCTGGGGTGGAGCACAAGGAAGGAAAGCAACAGAGCAGGCTGTGCACCACAAACTGCAAATAGGGCTAGTGAGAGTGGTGGTTGGAGGAGGGGAGATTTTCCCATCAAGAAAGGCACTAGGGCCAGACTTGTAATCCCAGGACCAAAGCCAGTCTCAGCAAGGCGAGGCACTAAGCACCTCACTGAGACTCTGGATGTATAATACATGATAGGGCTGGGGATGTGGCTCAGTGGTCAAATGCCTGGTTATCACCCACCCCACAAGGAAGGGGCACAAGGGGTTCCTGGAGTGTACTCTATGGATAGTCCTCAACCAGATATTACAAAACCAGTATTACAAAACCCCTAAAAAGACATGAAGGATTTTTCCTTGGTCCCAAAGCTAAGCTGTAGGTGCCCAAGCGATAATCCTATGCAAAAACTTTACTGTGTTTGAAAGTGTTTTTTATTATCCTAGAGTCACTATTCTGGTAAACCGAGGGTTTGTCCCAAGGAAGAAAGTGAATCCTGAAACTCGGCAGAAAGGCCAGGTAAGGGATGGATATGAGTCTTTGGTCATTTCCCTGTTGCAAGCCCCTGTAAAGAGGAACCTCATCTTCCTTTTTAGGTTAAAGGAGAAGTGGACCTAGTCGGGATGGTGAGGCTTACAGAAACCAGGAAGCCCTTTGTTCCTGAGAATAATCCAGAAAGGAACCACTGGCATTACCGGGACCTGGAGGCCATGGCTAGGGTCACAGGCGCAGACCCTGTTTTTATTGATGCTGACTTCCGTATGTTGAGACCAGCCCTCCCCCAGAATAAGTATCCCTGCCTTTTCTTGGCCCGGTTTTGCTGTATTCTAGGGTGTGTATGTGTTCAGGGGTGGGGCAAGACACCAAGAAACACTTGAAGGGTGATGGGTTATGGGTCAAGTAACAACCTGAGGATGGCTGTGCCAAGGCAGCTAGCTGTTGGGAAGCAGCAGAGGTGAGGACAGGGGCCCACTGTCTTTGCAGAGAGCACAGTCCCTGGAGGACCCATCGGAGGGCAAACCAGAGTCACTCTGCGGAATGAACACATGCAGTACATCATTACCTGGTCAGTTGCACTGCCCCTGGTCCCCTCTTTTTAGTGCACTTCACAGCCTAACAATTTTTTTTCAACCTAAGGTATGGACTGTGTGCAGCTACATCATACCTGTGGTTTAAAAAATTCCTGCGTCGGACACCTGGCATGTGAAGAAGTCAATACAGAATGATCCCTAAATAATCAGAAGGTCCCTGCATAGATGGCATCTCAAGAGACTTGATTTTACTGGATCATGTATTATCAGTATAAATAAATGCTTTATAGACTCACATTCATTGCTACCTTAAATAAGACAGTGACTGGTCAATCACAAAACCCTGGCTTGGTTTCTGAGCATTTTACTGCTATATACAGCCTTTTCATGCAAGTTACACAATTTCTAAAGCTCTCACGCTACAGGGCATGCCCTTGCTACTGCCTGAAACAAGTTTATTGCCTTCAGCCCAAGACACTGGATGAAGGACAATTTATTATTTTTATGTACAGAAATGCAACAGCATACATTTATCCCAGTTTAGTGGCAAGTTCTTTAGCCTTTGCCTTTTCCAGCTTGGCAATGCGAGCCACAGATTTTGGACCCAGAACGTTGCCTCCCCAGTGGCGACGGATCTGAAATGAAAAAAGAAGCAGTCAGCTTGGCCTGCCATCTCCCAAGGATTAACACTTCGGAGTTTTGATTTGCTTGAGTCAGCCACTCCCTTGAAAGCTCGATTCACCCAAGAAGAGTACTTAGGTAGTTTCTTACCTCATCATATCTGTCATTGTAGTTGGTTCTGATAGCTTCCACCAACTTAGCCAGAGCTCCTTTGTCTTCCCTGGGTGGGGGAGAAAAGGTGGGCTTTCAGTTTTAGTTACTCTTTAGCAAATTCCATTTTTAGTTCCAAATAAGCCTTTTTGCCTCAGATATAACATGACCACATGATTCATTCAGGTGAAGAAATTCTTAACCATCATAGGCAAAAGGTGAAATATGTAGGTTCATTAAGCTAGAACATTGGTCTTTTTAATGGAAGAGGGTTATGGGGATTGAACTTAAGGACACTATCACTGAGCCACACCCTAAGCCCTATTTTGTATTTTATTTAGACAGGGTCTCACTTGAGTCACTTAGCACCTCGCCATTGCTGAGACAGACTTTGAACTCATGATCCTCCAAAATCTAAAATGGTCTTAAAATGTCTTAAGGGAGCAAATGGACTGGGGGTTGGGGCTACACACTTACGAGTTAACCTGTGTGAAGGCAACAGTGGTGCATGTCTTCCTGTGAACCAGACGTCCCAGCCTAGCCTTCCCCTTGATGATGCAGTAAGGGACTCCCATCTTGCGACACAGAGCAGGCAGGAAGACAACCAGCTGGAAGAAAGCACTGGCTGGAAAGTGTGTTTTGACCAAAACAGTCCCTTAAGAGATCTAGGTTGGTCATTGCTCAGAGTTAAAAAGCTCAAGTATATATGCACTTCAAGGTCTAATTCAGCAAAAGGCTTGCATCATTGCAAGAACCAGGCATGAACTGGATCACTTGTCAGTGCTGTCCTCAATTAAGGGGACTATCCTTGTCACCCACTTTGGTCTTATTATGCCAGACTCATCATTAAGCCTGTTCCACCCTGGTTTCAGTAATCTGTTTAAAAATATGCCCAACCCACCTCGATGGGATCCACATCATGTGCGATCACTACCAGCTGAGCCTTCTTGTTCTCCACCAAGGTGGTGACAGTATTGACCCCTGCAAAACACAAACACTCTGTGAGCATTCAGACATGGCTCTGGTGACAGAAAACAATTGTAATGAGCTGTGACTCAGTGTTAAAAAGCTCGGATTTCAACCCTCACAGTGATTTCGGGTGAAACTGATGCATCATAGCACAGCCTACCCCACTTTTTGCCCCCTCTACAGAAAGGCCCATTCACCTGCTCGAAGGACAGGTGGTCTCTTTGTGGGAACATCCCCTTTGCCAGCAGCCTTCTTCTCAGCCCGGGCCAACAGCCTCTGCTTCTTTTCCTGCTTGGTCTCAGGTCTGTACTTGTGGGCAAGCTTAAGCAGCTGGGTGGCTGGGAAAACATTCTTCAGTTAGGCTCAGGTAACACAACATAAATGCCTTAATAATAGTACTACATAAGAACTGAGTAGAAAAAAACTCTAGAGCCACATGTCACATCTTTTCAGTTAGGCCAGCTCCTTGTTCGGAGGGACGCTGGTACATCCCAGAGCCCCACCTGTTTGGCGGTCCAAGGCCTGGGTGAACTGGTTAATCGCAGGAGGCACTTTCAGCCGCTTATAGAGAATAGCCCTTTGCCGCTGCAGCCGGATGTAGCGGGGCCATTTTACAAAGCGGGTAAGGTCCCTTTTGGGCTGGATGTCCTGTCCTGGGAAGTAAAGGGCAACACTGTCAGTAAGGCTGACTGGTATCAGGTTTCCGCCTCCGGTCTGGGTGCTGTGCATCAGCGATCTTGGTGGTCTAAATGTCATCACCATCTTTCAGATAGCAAATATTCTTTCACATCATCTGCACGCACACGCCTCGGACCGGAGACAGCGCCCCTTCCCTCTACAGCGGGAGCTCCCCCAGCACCACTCGGCGGACCAGCCCGCTCCCTGGGGGCGGCGAGGGCCCCACCCCCGGGGCCGCCTGCGCTCACCGATGCCGAAGTTCTTCGGCCTCTTCTCGAAGAGCGGGTTCACTACCTTCTTAGCCTCCTGCTTCTTGACCACGGCGGGGGCCGGGGCCACCTTCTTCCCCTTGGCCTTCTTTCCCTTCGGCTGCGCAGG